GTCTAATCCCCCACCATACTTATAGCTTTTCTCCATTCCGTTCTAAGACATATCGTCCGCCAATCTATATCTCACTCCATTAAATCTTGTTTTACCACCTTCCCCCAAGTAAGTTTCGGCCTACCTCTGCCTCTTTTTGTGTTGAGCTCGTGGTAACAAACTTCTGTTCTTACAGGAGCATCCAGGGGCCTTCTCATCACGTGCCCAAACCACCTCAATCTATCTTCTCTAATCTTCTCGGCTACTGGTACTACTCCGACCTTTCGTCGAATATCTTCATTTCTTATCTTATCCATCCTTGTGTAACCAAACATCCACCTTACCATCCTCATCTCTGCTACTCCCATCTTATGCTCATGTTGCCTATGTGCTGGCCAACATTCCGCGGCTGTTGAATATCATAGATACAAGAGAAAATGATAGTAATCCTTGTTATATTAAACTACACAATATTGGTGCTATTATATAGCAAACCAATTGAAGAATACAAAGACACACACTCAATGTGGGACTTCTACATTATTAACACTAACACTCTTAACACTCCCCCTCAAGCTGTAGCATATAGATCATATGCTACAAGCTTGATACATAAATAATACTCCCATTAGGAACCAAAAACAACAATGCTACATCAACAAAATGAAATGACTAAGTACAACAAATCAACTGGAATGACCATCAGTCTGAAGAGCTGATAAAGAGACCGTGCTGGAATGGACATCAGAGCATGGATGGTGCCGGAATTATCATCGGCAAAGACAACTGAGCTGACCAGGACATCAGCATCAAGATCCCTCTCAGACATTTTATTTAACAGTTGGTGAGCAGCAGTGGTTTACCCTTGACTATGCTACAAGCTTATTACAAGAAAGACCAAGTAACATAACATCAAAATAAATCTCCTAAATGAGAAACCAAAAATCAACAATGTGCTAAAAATAGCGTCGAAATGAACATCAACATGGAAGATGCCGGAATGATCATCGGCAAAGACAATTGTGCTGGAATGACCATCAGCAACATGAACAGTGCTCCCCCTCAAGAGGAACTTCTAAACAGTTCCGCGCCATATAGCATTGTCGGTCTTACTGTCGTTTTATAGAATTTTCCTTTCAACTTAAGAGGGATTTTGTGGTCACACAAAAACTCAGATGCACTGCGCCATTTCATCCACCTTGTTCTGATTCTGTGATTTACATTCTCATCAATCTCTCCACCTTTTTGTAAAATGGAGCCCAAGTATTTAAAAGCATCTTTTTTGGGTACCTCTTGACCACTTAAATGCACGGGCTCTTGGTCCCCATCTCGTACCAAAGAAAACTCACACTTCAGATACTTAGTCTTGCTTCGACTTAATGTGAATCCTTTGGATTCCAATGTGCTTCTCCACAATTCAAGTTTTCTATTAACACCCTACTTGCTCTCATCAATAAGCACAATATCGTCTGCAAAAAGCATACACCATGGCACTTCCTCTTGAATATCTTTTGTTAGTTCATCCATAACTAAGGCAAAGAGATAAGGACTTAGAGTCGACCCTTGGTGTACACCTACCGTGATAGGAAAATAACTTGATGTTCTGTTACAAGCTTTTACACATGTAGTAGCCCCATCATACATATCCTTGATTGCCTTTACATACTTTGATGGAACCTTTTTCTTCTCCAGAACCCACCATAAAACTTTCCTTGGAACCCTATTGTATGCTTTCTCAAGGTCTATGAACACCATATGCAAGTCCTTCTTCTTTTCTCGATATATTTCCATTAGTTGTCGCATCAAGAAAATGGCTTCCATGGTACATCTTCCTGGCATAAATCCAAATTAATTTACAGAAACCTTGGTATCTTTCCTCAAGCGATGTTCAATAACCCTCTCCCACAACTTCATAGTATGACTCATTAACTTATTGCCTCTATAGTTTGAACAATTCTATATATCTCCCTTGTTTTTGTAGATAGGCACAATCATACTTTTCCTCCATGCATCAGGCATCTTATTTGTCTGGAGAATCTTATTGAAAAGATTGGTCAACCATTTTATTGCCACATCCCCCAGGCCTCTCCACACTTCAATGGGGACACCATCAGGCCCCAAGGCTTTATTAGTCTTCATCCTCTTTAAAGCCTCCTTAACTTCATGTGTATTAAATCTGTGAACAAATCTTCTATTCATATCATCATACGCGTCCTCCAAGTCCACCTCGATTGTATCTTCATCCCCATTAAACAGCTTGTTGAAGTAGTTCAACCATCTTTCATTTACATCTTCATCTATCACCAGAAGTTTTTGATTTTCATCCTTGATGCATCTAACTTGGGTGAGGTCTTTACTTTTCTTATCCCTTATCTTTGCAAGTTTATAAATACCTCTTTCACCATCCTTGCTCCCAAGATTTTTATACAACTCGTCGAAAACCTTGCCTCTAGCTTCTCGCACAGCTTTCTTTGCGATTTTTCTCGCTAATCTAAACTTTTGCAAGTTCTCTTCACTGGGACTTTTATGCAAAAATCTAAAGCACTCCTTCTTATGTTTAATTGCCTCTTACACCTCTCCATTCCACCACCATGTTTCCTTTGTATGAAATCCATTTTCTTTGCTTTCTCCCAACACCCTCCTTCCCAAATTTTGAATACACTTAGCCATCTCATTCCATATTGCATTTACTCCTCCATCAAACTCCCAAGGTCCTTCGTGCAACATTCTTTCATTGAACTCTCTCTTTTTTCCCTCCTTAAGCTTCCACCACCTTATCCTTGGGTTATGAGCCATCTTCTTCATTGTAAGTACTTTGTTGAGCCGAACATCCAAGACTACCAGCTTATGTTGCGTAGCGACACACTCTCCAGGGTAGACCTGACAGTCGACACAAGAAGTTCTATCTTCTCTTCTAGCCAGAAAGAAATCAATCCGACTACGATTTTGGCTACTATGATAAGTGATTAGGTGTGACTCCCTTTTTCGAAAAAAGGTGTTCACTAACATCAAATCGTAGGCTAGTGCAACATTCAAGATATCTTCTCCAGTCTCGTTTCTCGTCCCATAGCCAAAACCTCCATGGATTCTATCAAAACCTCCATTACTTTTACCAACATGACCATTTAGATCTCCTCCTAAGAAAATCTTCTCCTCTCGAGGTATTCCCCTCAAAACCTCCTCCAAGTCTTCTCAAAATTGGCTTTTATCAGTTGGTTGCAATCCAACTTGGGGTACATACACACTAAGGATATTCAGGATTAAATCACCCACAACAAGCTTAACCAGAATAATCCTGTCGCCTTTCCTTTTGACGTCCACAACTTTATCTCTGAAACTTTTATCGATCATAATTCCAACACCATTTCGACTCTTGTTAGTACCTGTGTACCATAACTTGAAGCCAGTTCCATCCACTTCCTTGGCCTTTTCTCTAGCCCACTATGTTATAATTCATAATAAAAAAATTTCCTGATAAACTTGTATAATTACGATAAATATTTTGATAATTTAATATGTCAAATTTTTTAGCACTACCTAAGTTTATTTCTTGACTCCGCCACTGAACACACACATGCCTATGCAAATTCCTTGAAGAATTCCATATCAAGGATTTCCATTAATATTGACTGATGAGAAGTTTGTCAAGGTATTGTCCTAGGTCTACAATTTCCACCGCACAAGTTCATTAATCTGAAAACAACCAGTCACCCATGAGGAAGCTAGTGTTGGTAGCTTTGATGTTTCTGAGCTTCACCCCATCATGGTACCTTAAGAGTTAAAGACTTAATTATTCCCTAGATATATGTTCTGAACATATTGAGTGGTTGAATAAGGTTAACCACTTCTTCAAATACTAAAATTGAATACCTTTGTATTACAAAAAAAAAAAAAAAAAATTGAATACCTTTGGTATCTTTCTTAATGGATATGGAGAGGGAAAGGCTAACTAAATGGTATATACGTATTTGACAATCTGACGATCCTTGGTCATAGCCCCGCCACTCTCGGTAAAAGCAGAAAAGGGAGAAAACAATGTTCTAAATTATGAAAAACAATAGCCTCCATAAATTTTCTTATCATCACAAACAACAGACAGATGTGAAGCTTTTTTGGTTTCTTCAATGCTTGTTCTGTCTGGCGCTCCTTCTTATCAATCTCTCCGTTGCTCCCAGAGTCCCAGGTAACTGTTTCTTCTTTATCCTTTTGTTTTCCATTTACATGCGTATATCCCTTGGAGCAGAGTTAGATAACTGTTATAATCCATTACCAAGTTGTATTTCCCACTTGTTGAATTTTAAATGGGATTGCTTATTTTGTGACAGAGCGCCAGCTCCTCCTTCGCCAGTTATGTCTCCGCCACCACCTCCGCCAAGCATGGCCCCTGGTTCACGTCCATAAAGAATGCCTCAGCCTCATATAAACCATAAACTTTTTCTGTTTGGGATCACCTGCCAAAAATAAGCATAGTCCTACTCCAATGTTTTTGGCTATATATGTACTATGTCTTGATTATTAATGCTAACGATGATGTTTTCTTGCATACTAAAAACTAATGGAAAATGATAAAAAAAAATAATCAGAATAAACTTTCCAATTTTATTATTAACTTGTATATATTATCACATGTGCATGTTAATTTAATGACTCCCAATGATTCACAACTAAAGACTTAGACCATAGCAGTTATCCAGATCCCGGGACCCATGACCTGCTAAATGGGCAAATCTATTCCTATGTGGCTATGACCATAGCAACAAAAAACACACATTTTTTGTATTATCTTAGTCCAGCAATCATCCATTAAGAAAAACATCCAAAATAGGGTACTGATGACAAGAAAGAAAGATAGATAGATAGTGCCTGTTTCTTTGCATTGGATGGCTTAATTAATCAGGAGGAAAAAAGAACATTAAAAAAAATTAGAAGAAAGATCAAGCAAACAAAGATTCATCCAATAGAATACGGAAAGAAGAATTCTATCCAATATTCCTACTCCATCAGGAAAAAGAAAAGGTGAATTCAGGTTTTCAATTTTTCAGAGCCACAACACTGTATAAAATATAATGTATATTACTCGATTCAAAACAATAATCTGCAATCTGGTAGACTGCACAACGGCATCAAGCAGATTAGACGTAGCAATTAAAAGAAAAACTTCGCTACTAAGATAGCTTTACGCATAGCCACGTCCAATTGACCAGACTAGATCCTGCATGATTTTCATCCCCTACATCTTGGCATATGATAGGAACGCCCTTCAATGCCATGTTCGAGCAAGCAGAACAAGAAAATAGGTTAAGTTTGCCCACAAGCAGAATAGATAACCAATGCCGGAGAACTGTGTCAACAACCGAACAAAGTATACCACAACTGAATAGATGTACTATGCATCTGATGCTGGCTTTATCCTGAAATTTTCTTTCCATGTCTTCCAAGCCTTTCTGACTTCATCCAATTGAGCATCTGGAATGCTTGAATACTTATCCAAATTCTCAACCCATTCTGCCCAAGGTGACTTTGACGAGTCTAGGAACTTTGACACTTGAGGCAACATAACAGATGTGTAGAACTCATCAACTTCTTTGAGAATTTGTTCTGATTCAACCATAGACACCATTTCAGGCCTTGTAAAGTTCCCATCACTTGATCTAATTTTGAAAGCGTTGCCCCTTAAAATCAAAACTTCTGGTGGGGCAAGGGGGAGGACAATTCGTGAAAACTTGATGAGTGACAACGAAAGGATGTCTCTTGGGATTAACTTGCGCTTTACAGCCACAGCAGTCCCAACCATTTTGCGTATCTGATGAGTCATTCAGTCAGTGTGTATAGGGTTAATGTCAAATAATGAGTGCATGCTAGTGATTCAACTAGCAGAGCCAAGAAATGGATAAAGGCATGTTATCTCATTTGTATGGAAAAGCAACCAAAGTACAATCCTTTACTGAGTTTACATAATGAGCAAAAGAATGGTTTAGGCTCCCAATGCAGAACAGGTCACCTAGAATGCAAATCATGTCAAGAGAAGCAAATATGAATGCAACAAAGCCACTGCAGTGCCCTGTATAAAACAAGATTCCCAGAACCAAGAGACAAACCATATTTGCATTAAGTTTTCCAATTTCCATATAGGCATGGAAAACTAGGGTTATGAAGCGCGAATGAATAAAAACCACAAGCACGCACAGCCTGCACCACATCCCAGAAGGGTGGATGGTTGCAAGAACATACTGTTCCCCAACTCCCCCCAACTGATACAAAATGAGACAGGAAAGTACCAGCTACCCATCAACCAATCCCTTACCAAAAGAATTGCAAAACAAAAGTTCATAATTGATAGTTCTTAGAGACTTCGAGATGCAAAGGGGGGCGTGTTTAAAGTTCCTTCAATTAACTTTCTTTAGTTTAGACTTTTAGCTATCTAACAACTTGGAGTCTTTACTCTAACCCACAAATATGTATATATATATATATATAGAGAGAGAGAGAGAGAGGATACATGGATAAACAGTATGATTTATCCCATCAACACCAATAAAATGGTTGTTACAGATTTTAATTAGTTTAGCAACAACCTCCTACCTAAACTATATTGTTAACATTTACTTTTGACATTATAGAAAGTATGAAAAGCAGACCAATTAGTTGATATCTTTCAAATCAAAGAATCGTGTGTGTCCATGAATATAAGTCAAATGAAACTGAAAGTATAGGATCCCTATAATACAAATTTGCCACAAACATTACCTTTTAAAAATAAAATGTACAGAATCATAAAACAATTTGAAAAAATTATAATAAAGGGAGAAATTAAAAGTTGGGCCTAATTTTGATCCGCCGTTGATTCACAGCTCTTTTATACTATCATCCAATCATCTGTCACATCATTAAAAGAGTTTGACCTCCCAGGTTGTTGTTATCATAGCCAAATTATTTAATGATGGAGTCATGTGACAAAACATAATTAGATGATAATGTAAAAATGTTTTATATTAACAGTAGATCAAAATTAAACTCTTAGCAATTAAATTCACCAAGACTTACTTGATGTAACATGAAGGACTCCCCCCATATATTGAGCTCAACATAATCATATCCAATTGATGTTTCCAACTTCCCACAAGAACAATGGAAAATCTTTCTGAAATGGGAAGCATTTAATCTGTCTGTCTCATCCGGTTCATATAACCATCTTGCACGAATCACTAAACTAGAGTTTTGACCGTTCAAACCATTGGATTCACACTGCTCTGAAGAATTGTGGCTCTGTTCCTTATCACTTAAAGTGGTTGGTCTACCACTCACAAAATCATCAACCTCACTTTCCTCACTCTCTGATTTACAAGCTGATCCCAAACTAGATGATCCTGTTCTGTCAGACATGCCACCATTTCCAGGTGATTGCCTTGCAAGGAATTTTTTCCTGTACTTAGACCGAACAGTATAATTATGGAAAGGATGCTCTCCCTACAACAATAATATCAACAGATACAAAAGTAAATAAATACCTAATTTTAAATATCTTATGCATGGATGATCCTCTTAACTTGTTAACAATACATAAAAAGTTTCCTGTCACAATTAAGCTTGTCTCACACGAACATAAAAAATACGTAAAACAGAGTAAGAACCTCTGCTTGACATAAATCTTAAATAAAGGGATCAACGTCCAGTTTGATGATGGTGATAACTACAATACCTCTTCAATACTTAATATTTTGTTCCAGCTCATGGGTTCAATGAGACAACAGAGCAAAATGTAACTGACAGAAATGTAAAGAAAAAGCCACTAGAAGAAGGTTAGAGGAGAAGGATTTGGGTAAGAGTGCAGGAGGTCAAGGTTTGATTCTTTGAGCCATCATCTACCCAAAAACGAAAAAAGATAAATACAAAATAATTAATAAAAATTTCACCATTATTATGCACATTATATACATCTTGCACAAGAAAATAAGGCTAACATGTTCATTATTTGGAAAGAAGAAATAAACTTGATCAGCACATAAATTTAAAGAGCCACAAAGCAAAATCTTTCAACTAGGAGCATGCTTACAAGATTCTAAGCTTACACAAGCTGACATGTAAACTAAAGAATTCAAATTCAGAAAAAACGACACGTTATTCAATATAAGCAATGAGGAGAGCTCTCTATCTTAACTAAGGTTTATCGTAACTAAATATAAATTTTAATTATATAAGACAAATGGATACCTACACAACAACAATAAAAAAAAAAAAATCAAACGAAAAAGAGTATACCTCAAAAACACCGAGTATACTATTGAACTCTGAAATATGAAAGTCAATTTCATCCTCACTAAAATGACTCTTGATTCCTATTATATCAGCAGGGAGGAGATAAGAATATTTCCGCATATTGCACTCCCTTCTAGAATCAAATCTCCTAAAACAAGCCAAAACTATAAAGTTAGAAACAATCATGAGAGAACATTAATTAAAAATCAAGGAACACTTTTAAATTGTGAGCCACATGAAAAACAATGAGTCATAACCAATAGTCCAAATGAATCAAAAAAAATTATTATTTTTTTTTTTTTTTTGTATATGCGGGCACGCACCCGCATAATCCCATGGATCAGCTCTACCCCCACCTAGTGGGATAAAGGTTTTGGTTGTTGTTGTAATCCCAATAAGTAATAACATTTTTAATCTGAACACTTGCATACAAACACAACCATAGAGGCCTCCATATAAGAGTTGCATGACATGTGAAGCAAATCGGGGATTTTAATTTTCTAACTGATTAGTAGAAGTCATAGTTTTGTGGCAGATACTAACTACACATTAGGCACAGAAATAAGAACGAGATCATATATCCTTACATGATCTTAGTTGAGTACTCAATTCTAAACTACTTTTGCTACATTATCAATTTCCTAGTTACAAACACTACTATGGCACTCCTTATCAAATATCTAATAAGTATAGACAAAATAATGCCGGAAAAAAATCTGTTTGATTTATAGGAGCACATGAATGTATAGCCACTCAATAATCAAGAGTTAGGAAGAGACCAATAGTCTTACTTCGTTGAAGGCAATATGCTAAAAACTCTGATAGTATTAGGAAGATGAGAGTTAATGTGGTTTGCAAGCAAGATGCCATTATCGTCTCCTCTCCATGCATTCTCAGGGATTTCCATCTTAAAGGATATGGTTGTTGCCAGAGAGTGGACCTAGCATGTGCAACATCATAAAAGTGAAGAGAAATCAAGATATATAAAAACAAATAACAAAAACCAATTTATATAATAAAGGGAATAACAAGAAGTATACTCCTTTATCAGTTCTGCTACTTCGGCCCCATTTAACTTTGTTAAGATTCCCAAAATTACTATCACGGATGCCACCGGCCTTGAAGATAGCAGTTTCCAGTTCTTTCTCAATAGCTACATCATGTCAAAACTCTAAGTGTAGGCCAATAGTCAGAGTTTACATTAAACTTTGTTCATTTGGAAAGAGAACAGAACCAAATTCAAATAACAAACACACATTAAAATTTCAGTACAGGTACTTACTAGATCATAAAACCAGATAAACCCTAACATTAGTCTATGCATCAAAGAAACATATCCACTTTCATCATTTTAAACTCATGTATGAACTTCAAACTCTTAACTGGTGATTTTCTACCGTATTCAACAAGATAACAAAGAAAAAGGGTCTTACTGGATAATCTATGTTCATCTTGTTGCTTTTGCAGACCTGCAAATAACATCAACAAATCAAATTACCACAAGATTTTAAAAAAATAAATCAAATTCAAAAGAAGAGGGAAGAAAAAGGAGAGGGGGTTACCTCTATAATCGGTTCCAACGTATCCGACTCTCATTAGTACCTTTTTCTTGAGAAAAGGGTCCCAAGAAGGCGAATGGGTTGGAAGGGACTGGGTGGAACAACAGAAGCACCTGAACAGTGTTGGAGGCAGAAGCAGAACCGGTGTGTTCCGGTTTCGGGTCGGGTTTGGGTTTATCGATGGTGACAGTGGGAATGGCAGAGAAGAATTGAACGCCATTGCTAGAAAACTGGGTATTCTGTTTTCTCTTGCAGAAATTGGAACCGCAGGAAAATGAGGCAACCAGAGAACACAGCTACTCATCACTTCAACTCTTCCAACTCTATCTGTTATGCATTAGCAACAACGTTCTTATATCACTCTCTTTTCAATATTAATTTATGTTTAAATATTATGCTAATGTTACAAATTAATTTGACTTCTTATTTATTGATAGGCTACTATGACATTTTAGAGTATAAAAAAAATGCTTTAATATTTCTACCGTAGATAAGCTATTTATGTTCCTTTTGGATAAACATAGATAAGTTATTTATGTTTATTCGCTTAAAAAATTATAATGAGAGCTCAATACTCATTATGAAAATGATGTCATTTTAAGTTAAAAAATTAGAATGAGAGCTCAATCAACGTGAGTAACTTATCTACGTTGACTACGAGGTTTCATAAAATGAATTTAAATATTAACTAATAAAATCACGTGAAAAGAAATATAGGCAAAGACTCTTATACAAGGTTTCATAAATTTTGATATAATTCACCTATTTCTTTTTGTATGTAGACAATTCTTAATATGTGAACATGGGAGAATTTATTTCCGGTGTCAAAGAATGTATGCTTACTATTTTTTCATGCCAGATAAAATAGTTTGATAAAGATTTGATTTCTAAAATTAGTTTTAGTTACTTTTTTATTTATTTTTTTGGTAAAAAAATAGTTGGAATTGCATAAAACAAGGAGCAAGTTCGTTATAAGTAATGAAAGATTCATGCATTAAGTTTTGACTTGTTCAAGAAACGGGTCTTCTTGTGTCTTAAACGGCTCCCAATGATCTGAAAGAAGTGTCAAAAGCATCGTGCACATGACTAGTTCAAATTGGTGAATTCGACTTGGAGTGTCATATGTTACAAATAATTGAGTATTAATTGGATATGATGAAGTGCTTTTAGAAGGTAAAGCTTTAAATTCTGTTCCACATGGCATTTGTGAGTTGACATGACTTTCGAGAGTTACCACTTCAACAAACAAATTCAACAAGTTCGTCATTAGCAAAGGGCCATTGGAGGGGTCCTGTACTTAACAGCACAGGCAATTAGGCCGCATGGGTTGGATTGCTAAAGTTAAAGGGTTCAGAGCAGCATTACAATCCCGGGATAATGCTTCTTACATGTTTTTGTAATCATATGAGAATAAGGTGGTAGAATCAAATTATAAGTCTGCACAAATTTTAATAGGTCTAAACTATAATCAGATAATAGAAACTCTGCATGCGTGATGTGATTAGCATTATTCACTATTGGTGATTATAGAAAAGAACTTACATACTGCCAGGAATTATGGAAAATCAAGTTAAATTGAAAAAAAAAATAAAGACTAAAAAAAAGTGTTCAAATAATGAATCATACAGTCTATGGTATATTTTAGTCAGAAGATAATTTGTCAGTGTGACATGAAAGTATACTTCCGTTTCAGAGGGTAAATGATTGCCTGTACCAAGTCAGAAGCCTCCCATCTCTTAACCCAACATGGAAAGATTATTTGTAGCTGTTTGAGGAGCCTGAAGACAATGTTTTCATTTCCTAGTGAAATTTTGTCAGCCTCTGAAGTTGTAATATCCTGCTCGGATGTTCCATTTGATGAATTCTTGAGGAATCATTTCCACGGGCCATTCAATCCAATTAAAACACATCTTTCCTCCCAAATTCTTCCATAACACCAAATAATGAGCCAGCATAATTGTCCATGGATTGATCCAAGGCCAGGTAAGCTGAATATTCAACTCTAGTACAGAAAATAAATGGACACTTTCCTGTTTTTCCTGCAAACCAACCCCACAATGTATACATGTGGTGCAGGACAATCAGAACAAATGTGAAAATGAATTCCTTCTCCATACAATAGCAAGAAACAGATAACCAACCAAGTGTTTTGGCAAGTGCAGAAAAAGAAAAATGCAGGTGCTGGCCAATGGAAGCTTTAATTAAAGCGTGTTAAGGGACCAAATTCAGAAGAAACTGATGAAAGGATAAGAAGAGTAATCATCACCTTTTTCCCTTCACTTACGATGGATGAGCACTAGTTGTACTTTCGAAATTTTCTTTCAACAAATTCCAAGCCTTCCTAACCTCATCCAACTGATCATTCGGTATGCTTGTGTGAGCATCCAATTTCTCAATCCAATCTTCCCAAGGAGATCTTGATGGATCCAAAAAATTTGAAACTTGAGGTAACATAGTTGATGTGTAAAAATCATTAACTGCTTTAATAATTTCTTCTGATTCAACAATTGTCATCATTTCAGGCCTTGTTACATTTCCTGGCCGTGTTCTTATTGAGAAGCTGTTTCCCCTTAATATTAGAACTTCTGACGGTGCAAGGGGTAAAATAATTCTCGAAAACTTTGCCAGTGACAGCATTATAATATCTTTTGGTAGTAACTTGCGTTTTACTGCCACAGCTGTCCCAACCATTTTTCTTATCTGGTGAGAGCGTATAATGTCATATCATGATGCTTGTGAAAAAATGCAGCAGAACACAACACATTTAACCAATTTAATTCATCTCCATAAGAAGCAAACAAAATGACAGTGGAGGACCTAATTTAAGAGTTGACAGATGAGGACGTCTAAAACAAGAAAATAGAGGTTTGTATTGTCAAACATTATCATTCATTGTTGAAGAATTGGATATTGCAACAAATGAAAAGGGAGAAAAGTTTAGTCATAGCATTCATTGCTTTACCAGTTGTCACTATGAACATTCAAATTAAGTACTTAGATTGAAATTTTCAAATAGGAAATAAATTCAACTTGATTAATTAGTATTGTGGTAAATAACTGTTTGGATCAAAGGAGCAAAGTTTGGCAGACTTATCATATGCATAAAAAGTTTACCACAAAATATGCATACCGGTATCTATTTATACAAACATAATCATGGATATAAGTTCTCTGAGGATAAAAAGTTTAAAGAAGAATAAGATGGAAAAATAAATAAATAAATACCTGATGTAACATGAAGGACTCTCCCTGTATGGAGAGCTCTATGTAATTATATCCAAGAGATTTTTCCAGCTTTCCACAAGAACACTGAAAAACTTTTCTAAAATGGGAAGCATTTAATCTATCTGCTTCATCAGGTTCATATAACCATTTTGCACGAACAACCAATCTAGAGTCTTGATCATGCAAACCATTTCCATTCTTATTGCTAGAGCCGATGACAGGTTCACCAAAATCACAAGTTTCTGAAGACTTTTGGCTTTGGCGCACTATATTTTCTGTTGCCTCATCAATTTTAAAATTTTCTTCCCCATCATTGTCCTCACATTCCGACTCGTAGTCTGATATACTCTCTATTGCTGATGTATCACTCCTTGATGGTGACTGCCAACGAGGAGACTGTTTCCTGTACTTGGACCTAGCAGTATAATTATGGAAAAAATGTCCCCCCTGTGAAAGGCAATTATAGATAGTAACTGAGATCTATCATAACAAATGCTAATATGCTAAACTGATAGAAACTGGTTAAGAACAGCAAGAATTACTGAGAAAGAATATATCTTTATAGAAGGGACCTCCTCTGGACAGCAAGAATGAGTCTTGCTTGCAGAACAGATATCAAATTACAATGGATATCTCTCAAGAAAAAATTCTCTGGCCCTCTCCTCTATACTGACTGTCTCAGTCTATCATTCCCCTCCTTTATATAGTGTCCTGCCTAAATCACTGACAGTCTAACTAATTTTCACAGTTCAGTTACAAGTCAGTTGGAATAATTCCAACTACTAACAGCCCACATGGCTGATGGCCCACATGCTGCTTATTTCTTCTAAAAAATATTTTCCTATTTAGGGGTTGCTAACACTAAGCAGGTCCATAAACAGCAGAGAAACAACACAAAAGATCAGAAAACCTCCTAATGTTGTCTTAATCTAAAATTTCTAGCATGCTTCCTGGAAATATATAGCCAGGCACAACTAAAAAATCTTGTACTAAAACTGACAACGGCTAGAGGAAGAGCCAGTCAATATCTTGTTTATGTGTAATACTTTTATATTGAACAGAAAATTTTGGGTGCAAAGACAACAGTGTGATACATAAAATATATGAATATACCATCAGAAATTAACTAATATTAGAAAAAAAAAGTTCATATTTAATACAAATTTCAGTAATTATGAACAAAATAAATGGAGAGTTCACTGTGAAATAGATAAGGGAAAAAATAGAGACTAGAACACCACACCTCAAAAGCATTAAGAATATCATTGAACTCTGATATGTGGTAGTCAGTTTCATCATTGCTAGACTGGCTCTGAATACCAATAATTTCAGCTGGGAGGAGGTAGGAATACTTCCGCAATATGCATTCCTTTCTGGGATCAAAGCTCCTGGATCCAAGAGACAAAATCAAACAATTTGAGAGGAGGACAAAAGAGCATCAGAAACACAGAAATCTATAAAAAAAAGAACATGCAAAACAAAAGTAAATATATAAATAAATATACAGTTCAGAGATTACTGTATATTATGAATACTTAACAATGAACTTGGTTTGAAGCCTTACCTTTGTGAAGGCAAAATACTAATAACTTTGATATCACGAGGAAGATAAGAGTTAACATAACTTGCAAGGGCAAACCCATAAGGGTCTCCGTTCCAAGAGTTCTCTGGGATTTCCATTTTAAAGGATATCATTGTTGCAAGAGAGTGAACCTAATATATAATACAACATTAAATAGGATGGAATAAGCAATCATACCCTGGCTGCATATGTACCAATATCAGAATAGAAAGCAATTTAAAATTTAAAATTAAAAGGAAGGGATCATGAATTACTCCTTTGTCAGTTCGGCTACTTCTGGCCCATCCAATCTTCTGCAAATCCCCAAAATTACTGTCACGGATGCCACCAGCCTTGAATATGGCATTTTCCAGTTCTTTCTCAATAGCTACATTTTTGAAATCATAGCATTTTAGCAACAGTATATCCAAACTAGCTAGGCAGATTGAATCACACACACGTGTATTCTACATTATATATCAGCAGAATATATATTACTTGTAATCACAAATTCACAATGTGTGGACAATAGAGTAACCAGTTCTGTTAACTTATGTGATGGCTTTCCACTTTCCAGTTTACCTTACCACTCACAAATACAAACTTTTCACTAAATTTTCCAAGAAACTCCAAAATCCTAAATATTTTCTTTTTTTAACTCTTTCAATAATTTTGATGGCCCTCACTGCTAGAGCATTTCTACAAACATCTTAGGCTCCAAAAACATACATAGTGAACTGTTTTTCTTCCCCCACCCCCACCCCTTATATATAGGGCACCTACCACTACCAACTAGGCCAAAGTAATTAGAGCAAAGAAGAAAAAGAAGCATACTGGAGAGTGCATGTTCATCTCGTTGCATTTGTAGACCTGAATGAAAAGTTGACACACAAGACATGAAAAACAAGGGATTGTGGGTTTAAACAAAAACAACAATAACATTTGATGGTAACGTTTAGAACGGCACGCGTGAAATGGGACCTCGGTAATTGGTGCCGACATATGCGACCCGCATAACAACCTTTTTCTTACGAACAGGTTGCCATGATTGGGGAGGAGAGGAACAAAAGCAACAATGGAACCTTCTCCTTCTCCTTCTCCTCCTGTCAATAGCAGGTGTAAGTGTAAATGGAGCATTTTTTAGCAGAGGAAACAGTGTCACTCGCAGAGATAAAGTAGCCATTTTCACAGTTCAGAGCTGATTATGTAAAATGGAACATAATATAACTGAAAAAAAAAAAAAAAAAACCAATGATTTCTCTTAGAATTATTTATTTTTTATGGATTTTTTTTATCATTTCCTATTATGTTTTCTATGCACTCCGTGAATTAAATTAGACTTTTCATTTTACAATATAAAAAGATGGGATTAATTATTTTCTACCCACATAAATAAAAATATGTGGGTTCAACTTCATATGGGATTATATAAAGAAAAGAAAAAAAAAATATAAATCTTATATATTTTCAAAAAATAAAATTAAAATATTAAACGCCTCTTTTTGCACTAATTGACATTACCATGATCATACGCACCGTTGAGAAATGTCGCAAATTACATGCCTACCCTCTAGGTTTTAGACCAAAATCGAAAAATACCTCACATTCTCTAAAGTAGCTGTGGCAATCACATTGTGCACCTATTCACATTTCTCAATTTTTTGAGATAAAAATTTTATAATGATTACATTAAATTAGTTTTTTAATTGAATTAGATTATAGTGAAGATTTCTTGAAATTAAAAGGCATTAGCTTTTTTTTATCCAACTTCACATTAAATTATACTATTTTTTCCTTGTATAAAAAAATTATTGTAGAGATAAGAATTCTATACTGCAATGTTATTTTTTTATTCAACTCTGATTGTTTTATAAAATTTATATTAGATTGTCAAAAAAACTTTTCATCCCAACAAAATTGAGATAAAAAGTACAATGAAAATTGCAGTTAATAACTAATTTCTATCTTCCAATAAGATAATATTCACAATATTGTTAATAAGAATGAACGCTTAGAACTATTACTTTTCTAATTACAAATTTATATATATATATTTTTTTTGGTAATCAAATTTATATATCTTTAATAAAACTAATATGTATTTTATTCATAATTATTTTTAGTAAGAGTTAAATTTAATTCATGTTATTTGTATTTTAACTCAATTGTCTTCTCATTTAATTTTTCTAGATTTTCATTTTTTATTCGTGGTCAATTTTCTTCTCATCAGTGTGAATTTGCTCATAACTTTAAGCGTAATATTGTTGAGTATTCACACCAATAAACCAATCTATTCTTCTTCTTTTTTGTAGACAAAAGGGCTTAAAGCCCAGACAAACAAACAAAGAACTGAAAACTAACTAAGAAGAAGAACATAACGAACTCTCTCAACTGATACAAGATTAGCCAAAAACAAAACATGAATTTCTCTCGGAGGGTTCTCAAAAAATAGCCGGTTAGCTTGGTCTGTGTGATCTAGCAGGTAATTAGCCATCTAATCTGCATACATGTTTCCTTCTCTGAATGTATGATGAAGACGAACCTCCCACTCTTTATCAATCAATGTTCGTATACAGGTACATCTCACGAACTGCTGCACCACCCTTGGTGAGCCTAGTGATTGCCACTAAGGAATGACTTTCAACAATAACTTTCCTGTAATCTGCATTCCACGCCTCCTCTAAGCCATGCAAGATGCCCCAAAATACAGTTCTAAAAGTTGTGCAAGTTCCCAACCTAATAGCAAAACCTCTTAACCATTGGTCTTGTGAATTTCTCAACACACCACTGCATGCAGCCAAACCAGAGTTACCATGAGCTGCTCCATCTGTGTTGATCTTCATGTAACCCTCCTCTGGAAATCGCCATGTAATATTTATATGACTGAAACCATTTCTAATATGCAAGTTCTGTCAACCAAGAGCAACATCCCGCACTAAACTTTTAATGATCTCACACTTATTCTCAAGAGAAGGAATCTCTTCCCCATGATTCACCAAGTTCCTCCAGTACCAAATTTTCCAACAAGTTTCTAGGAAGATAAACCAATCTACTCTTTAATATATGTTGGTAATGTTGGGTTTGCTCTTTTACTAAAGCCCAAATGGGTTATTAGTATGAGAAGAGCCCAATGAGCTAGGGTTTCTTGGAACCCATATAAATAGTATCTCTTAAGTCATCAGCCTCCTAAGGTCTTTTTAGTGAGAAAGAGGCAAGCTCAGAATCTAATCAGTGCCCACACACTTTCCCTTCCTCCTCGAGAGATAGTTTGGAAGATCTGCCACAGTCCAGCTTCAAGGAGGTTGTTCGTGCTGCGGAGCTGAGGTGAGCTGTTCGTGAAGAGGAATCCTACAAGGGAAGATTCTACACGAGACCTGCGCACCGAGAGGTAATTGTGAAACAAGGATGATTCGGTAAGCATACCAATGTACTAGGTCCTAAACCGCTTCCGCATAAATCTAAGATTACCTACAGGTAACTCACATTTTTTCATTTTAATTTTTAAACCCGAAACAAAAAATATATTTACATATAAATTGATTACTTAAATAATCTTTAATTGTATTTTTAAAATTTAAGATATTAATATATTTATCAACTCAAGTCAAGTTAGTTTTATTAAAGATATATAAATTTATAAGAGGAAAAATAATAGTTTGAAGCGTTCATTTTTGCTAACAATGTTGTGAATATTGTTTTATTGGAAGATCAAAATTTTCATTGTAATTTTTCTTTCAACGTCCTTGGGAAGAAAAGTTTTTTTGACAGTTTGGTATAAATTTTAAAAATAATCAAAGTTGGATAAAAAAAACTACATTGTAGTATAAAATTATTATCTCTACAATGATTTTTTTTACAGGAAAAAACGGACAGTTTAATTTAATTTTTAATAGAGTTAGAAGATTGACTTAATGAAAAAAATCATATAAGGTAAATGATAAAAAAAAAGTAACTATAAGGTGATAAGTGACTCTAAGAGAAACTATAGGGGTTTTTTGAACTTTTCCCTTTATTATAAGAGAAATATTACTTTCATTCTATATGAGGTAATTATCTCATGTTATCTCGTTTTGAAAATCTTGTTCACTCTTTTTCTTTTTTCTTTTTTATCCTTTAATAGTGGGTCTCACGTGACTTCTCTATGTAACATGAGAGAATTACTCTCATGTAAAATGAGAATAGCATTCCACTTATTATAATACTAAGGCAAATAATCAAACAAATAATCAAACCCTTAATTCCACTAGAATATGTAGAATTTAACTTAAATTGAATTACTCTTTTTATTTTAACTCAAACAACTCCTCATTTATTTGAACTTTTCTAGATTTTCCTATTTTGTTCATGGTCAATCCACTTCTCATATGTGTGTATCTGCTCATAGCTTTTAGCGTAATGTTAGCGAGTATTATATATCAATGGACCAATATACTCCTTAAAATACTAGTATTTTTCTAACATTTTTTATTTTTCTCTGTTATCTATCTCTGTCTCATATTTTTTCATTTTAATTTTTAAACTCGGAATAAAAATATATTTTCAAATAAATTAATTATTTGAATAATTTTTAATTTTATTTATTAAATTTAAGATATTAATACATTTATAAAACTTAAGTTAAGTCAGTTTATTAAATATATATAAATTTGTAAGAAGAAAAATAATAATTCTAAATTATGGTTCAGTCTTGCTAACAATGCCGTGATTATTATCTTATTGAAAGATTGAAATTAGTTGCTAACTTGTAGTTTTTATTGTAATTTTTTTCTCAGCATATATAGTTGGGGCAAAAATAAATTGAAAAATTGGTATGACTTTTAGAAAACAATGAGAGTAATTTGATGAAAAAAATAGCATTGTAGTATAAAATTCTTATGAAAAAATAGCATTGTAGTATAAAATTCTTATCTCTACAATGATTCTTTTTACAAGGGTAAAATAGATAGTGTAATTTAATTTTTTTCAGATACAACAAATCAATCTATACTATGTAAATTAAAATAACTGTAAGAATCCAATAAATACATCATGATGCTTGTAGTAGCCAAAAACTTCTCATCATATTCTCTCCTGTGTAAATACAATTTCAATGTTACATAAGTTGGCAAATAATTTGTAAATGTAGAAAAAAAAGATAATAGAAAAAAATTTAAAAAAAAACTTTTTATACTTTTTGTTTTTTCTTTAATCCATACTTATAGGTAGGGGTGTGCGTGGAGCGGTTCATAACTGGTTTTAACAAAAATCGAACCGAACTGGTTTTAAATGGTTTGGTTTTCAAATCGAACCTTTTTTTTTAAACCGGTTTTTAATTTTCTAAACCAGTTTGAAACCGGTTCCAAAACCGGTTTATGGTTGATAACCAGTTTTAAATCAAAATCGGTTATGAACCATAAACCGGTTATCAATTTCAAAATCGGTTTTTTAACAAATTCAAAATCGGTTTTTGATTAATTGTGCTATTTTTATAAGTAGTCGTTTGTTTATCTCGATTATAGGTAGTTGGCCAACTATTTCTTGGAAGAATCTTCATTGTTTTGGAACTCTCAGTACGAAATGATTCTTATAGAAATTATTTCACGTTGTTTTGAGAGTGATTGATAGAAGAACAGTTGAACTAATTTAAAATTATAAAAAAATTGCTCTTCGTTCTCTTAAGATTTATGTTACTTAGAGTTTCATTTGAATTAATGGAGGAAGGTATGGGTAGGGGTGTTCAAAATATCCAAAAGAACTAAACCAATCCATAACCAGACTGCTCCACATTTTAAAAATCGGTTATTTTTAAAAATCAGTTTCATATGAAACTGTATTTTATTTTATAAACTGGTTATTTACCAAACCATAAAAATAATTGGTTATCCATAACTAAACTGCTCCATAATTAAAGAACAAATAAGTAAATCCGTTGTGAGTTGTCCTTTTAACGATGCTGATTCATCATCTTAAACATCTCAGAGATGTTAAGTCAATTGATTAATTTCGTTGCCCTTTTCGTTTATGATTTTTTAACTTCATTTTTGCCTTGTCAAGTTGTGAGTTTATCCGGAGGTCTGTATGTGGTTATTTTTTTTTGGGAAAAAAAGTTGTTACGTTACATAAGAAGTGCTTTCTTAGGATGCGACCTTCCGATTTATGTGTAATTCTTTTTAAATAAGTGTTTTCTACTTGTGCTGGTTAACT